ATCTTCCGTTGTATTTCATGTCTTTAAGAACTCTGCAGAAATATCGGTCTCCTAGGATTATCGCTCTATTAGTCTTTTACACCATTTTGGCAGAGTATTACAGTCTCTGAGAAAGCCGAATTAGTTACGCATGTTACTTCACACGGCCTCCTTTAGGATAAACAATATGGCTTCCGTTTCCTCTCGTCTAGTACGCTTTAGATAAGAACCGCTTTCCTCTGGTTTTGGCATGATGGCCTTCGCCACAAGCTCAAGGCTACGGGATATCTGGAGGAATATTTGGCCTGAGCCAATCTTTTCTATCAAATCGTGTAATGAACATCGTGTTGAATGAACACACTTCTCGTTCATTTCTTATTAATGCAGGGATTTTTTCCTAGGACTTACGCTGTTTCTGATCTTCAGCAACCACCTTCCTAATGCAGATGACACGACTCTTTGCTCCTGACTTAGTTGCAAGTCCGACAACTGCTCTTGAATAGGAGTTCCAATCAGTGGTTAACTTGTCCAATAGAAAACTGCTTTCATCATCACTATAGAGAAAGATATTGTCTCCCATTAGTGTTTCGCTTCAGTAGAGCAAAAATATGTGCTTTCTAGGATTCGCGTCTTACACTGACCAGATGTTCGAGTGGTTATAATTATATTGTCTAAAATGCCAGGTCTGCTGCTAGGGAATTTTTCTCTGTGTTGTGGCAGGCAACTGTTCTCATCAGAAGCTCTCTTGCACATTTATCAATCTACTATTCGTCCGTGCATTGAATAATGCTGCCATATTTGGTCAGGTGTTCCTACTACATATCCCGAGATTCTTGACAAAATTCAAAGACGGGCCTGTAATGTAATCAATCCTGATCTAGCATCTAGACTTCAGTCACTTTCTCACCGACGGGGTGTCGCTTCTTGCTGTCTTTTCTGCCAATATTTTCATAGCAAGTGTTCAGATGAGCTCGACTACATAAATTTAATCGCGCTGCAAGATTGGCAACTAAGATTTACTGTTGAACTGGCTAGATGCAACCATCATTTCTATTCTAATAGTTTATTTCCTAGCACTTGGGGATATCCTTTCTGGTTTCTTGCTTCCCTGTCGTCAACAATTTATCAAACATTTAAATGCAACTTTTTCCTGAATCCTGTTCCATTATTGTCATTTTCCTTACTTCTCCTTACTAAAGACTTCTCATTTTCTTTCTCTCCTTGTAATCACCTGTGTCCTAGTAGCATTATCGCCTTGCTTGGGGTGAAAAAAAAAATCAAGAAAACAAGATAGATAAACGGAGTGTGACAAATCTAATCCTGGAATTTCCCTGAGAAAATAAGGTTAACTCCCTGATCAGAATTGGCAGCTGTCACCTTCAAATTATACTTTTTATGAAGCCATACAGTTCATGAGATTATAGTCTTTTTGTTTCAGAATTCATTTCAATATATATATATATATATATATATATATATATATATACAGATATAAAAGAAAGAAAAAAGATATATAATCCGTTGTTCTTATTGATATTTTTTTTTTATTTTTACAAAATAGTGCTCAATGTAAATTTACAGATCATATATATATATATATATATATATATATATATATGTGTGTGTGTGTGTGTATCGAATGAATTTAGGCAGTATAAAATGCAAAATCAACAATGCTGTCTGTAAATATTTCTGAAAATTAAAGAATGCTGCCAATACATCTTTATTTCTATATGGAATATTGTAGCAAGAAACAAAATTTACAACGGGAAATGTAATTTATGCCTTGTGGAAACATTAGTTATCTCAAAACACTTAAATAGCCCTGGCTGATTAAACAAGAGAAATGAATTGATGCTTACATGCAGGCATAAAAATGAATATCTACTTAAATACGTTGATCAAGATTAATTTTCAACGTAAATTACGTTTTTTTATTGTTTTTTTGTAAATATGTACTCCCCGTCTCTGCTTAATATAAAAAATTAAAAAAATAATATTCACCACTCTAAAAAATATTTCTTACCCATATATGCAAATCCCATTTAGTTTAAATGTCAAATATATTTTTAGAATTAAGTAAATACAATGCCAGTATATTAAATAACTGTGCCATCATTACGATAACCAGACATCTTGATCAAAATTTAAATTGCATATGGGTCAGTCTATACTCAGCACCTGAAGATTTCTCCGAATGAAAATTAATGTCTATTTATTAATCTATAATAAATAGCTCTTTTATATTACATCAAGCACTTTCTTATTAACATCAGCACTATATGTGCAATATATATATATATATATATATATATATATATATATATATATATATATATATATATATTATTATTATTATTAAAAAGACAAAAGATATTTTGTGTCGATTAATTTTGCGAAGTTTTTGGAATTTCCTCCTTGTCTGAGAAAGAGTATTTATAATTTAGAAAAAATGATCAATAAAATTAACGACGCAACATGTCTGTTAATAATAATATCTACCTTAAAGAACATTTACTACATAAATACAGAGTATATATATATATATATATGTATATATATATATATATGTATGTATATATATATATTTCAACGTAGCACACATATATACAAGCATATCCACAGACGTACAGACACACAAACATATATATATATATATATATATATATATATATATATATATATATAAAGAGAGAGAGAGAGAATCAAAAATACTTTTAGAAACAAGAACAAAACTCCAAATAAATATATGTCCACAAATCTTCGTTTTTGAGTTATGAAGTTTAAAGCTTAACCCGTATAATGTGTCATCCATAGGCAGGCGTACGAACCGATGTCGGTCTTCCTCGATGCATAGTTTATGTCGGCACAGATCATGTCTAAGCAACTCGATGATAAACAGTGGGAAAGTTTTGATAACTCGGTTGATTTCGATCTGGAAACGCAATCAGAAACAGCGTCCATTTCCATTCGCGCGGCCATATGTAAAATTCATATCTGCCTGCTCACGATATGAATATCCTGGCATTGTAAACGAAATACTTCTCACTTAACTCACTATAACACACGTTAAACGTTTCAGACAGACGAGTCACAAATGTACATGAATGTCAAATGTAAACTAGTCTACAAGAAAACACAGCGTCACCCTTTAAACTTTATAACTCAAAAAGGACGAATTTACGGACATATGTTTATATGGACTTTTGTCTTTGTTTTGGTGTGAGGAACAAACACGTTCCCAATGTTTGTAAAAAGTGTTTTTGATACACCCTGTATTTAGTTATATATTAGATTTTGTTTCGCTTTTCTTATTGGAAAATATAAACAGTTGCCAACTGGTTTCGTTTTTTGAAAATATATATTCGTTAATATGTCCAAGATTAACTTATTCCGTCATCTGAAGAACTCGGACAGAATTAAGTAACTGATTACGAAAAAATCGAAACCTGTTCAAAACTAGTGTAAACCATTATCTTCCATGCATATCCCGATAAACTGTGTGTGCCTCTTCCTCAAATATTCTACCACGAGTACCCCCGAGCATTGTACTGGTTGAACCGCATTGTAAAAAAATATCAAGGTTTTTTTTTTTTTTTTGGTTTTTTATCATCCTTGGTCACGGATGCATGGCCGTTGCTTCCATTGGAGGGAACTTAACCCTGGTCATTGTATTTCATTAAACAGATCTTCCACATTGTTATGACGTGTCACCAGCTGACTGGCAGCATACATAGATATTGAGCCCAGTCTAGTCATTTGTTATAGGTAGCCGTTGACTGTACACAAGGTTCACCCGCCTTCCGGATTGTGTTTACTATCCTGCTTGGTGTCTGTCCATCCACCGCACCAGAAAGGTCTGGTGGGGGCACCGGTTTAGTCCACGATGACCTGACTATGCGGTAGGTAGTACTGAATTACATGGTAGCCTTAGCACCGTTAGATTGACCTGGCATCATGTATTTTTGCTGACCAGTTGCACGATAGATAGGTACATTTTAAAGAGGTTAAAAATCATTCATTTTGGCTGATCGGTTGCACTATACACAAGTACTTTTTTTGAAGAGGTTAAAAATCATGCATTTTCGCTGACCAACAGCAATATACACAGGTACTTTTTGAAGAGGATAAAAATCATGCATTTTCGCTCACCGGTTGCTCTCTACACAGGTACTTTTTTGAAGAGTTTTAAAATCCTGCATTTTCGCTCACCGGCAGCACTATACACAGGTACTTTTTGAAGAGTTTTAAAATCCTGCATTTTCGCTCACCGGCAGCACTATACACAGGTACTTTTTTGAAGAGTTTTAAAATCCTGCATTTTCGCTCGCCGGCAGCACTATACACAGGTACTTTTTTAAGAGTTTTAAAATCCTGCATTTTCGCTCACCGGCAGCACTATACACAGGTACTTTTTTGAAGAGTTTTAAAATCCTGCATTTTCGCTAACCGGCAGCACTATACACAGGTACTTTTTTGAAGAGTTTTAAAATCCTGCATTTTCGCTCACCGGCTGCACTATACACAGGTACTTTTTTGAAGAGTTTTAAAATCCTGCATTTTCGCTCACCGGCTGCACTATACACAGGTACTTTTTTGAAGAGTTTTAAAATCCTGCATTTTCGCTCACCGGCTGCACTATACACAGGTGCTTTTTTGATGTGATTAAAATCATGCATTTTCAGTACTGCAAAATTTGGCTAATGCAGGCATACTGTAGATTACATAGAAGCTAGGGTCATATTATACATATGCTGTATAAAAGAAAGCCGGTGTTGCACAAAAAAGTGTATGGGTTGCAATATACATTATAATGGCCTATACACGTGTATATATGTGGTACGTGTATTTCTGTCAATGCAGGACGAATGTTGGTCATTCTTATTTCCTAGAGCGATGTATATGTCGTTCAGTGAATAAACAATATCTTCTAAATTTTCGCATTTAAGTTTATTTATAATGACATGAAAGAAGGCCGGAGCGTACAAAGTTTATAAATATCGATAGGAAAATGTAGTAGATCATAGCACGTTAGATAGATAGATAGATAGATAGATAGATAGATAGATAGGAAAACACTCAGATAGATAGATAGATAGATAGGAAAACACTCAGATAGATAGATAGATAGATAGGAAAACACTCAGATAGATAGATAGATAGATAGATAGATAGATAGGAAAACACTCAGATAGATAGATAGATGAATAGATGAATAGATAGATAGATGGAAAAACACTCAGATGATAGATAGATAGATCAGATAGATAGATAGATAGATAGATAGATAGATAGATGGATGGATATGGGAAAACAATCAGATAGATAGATGGAAAACACTCAGATAGATGGATAGATAGATAGATGGGAAAAACACTCAGATAGATGGATAGGAAAACACTCAGATAGATAGATGATGATAGATAAATGAATGGAAAACACTCAGATAGATAGATAGATAGATGGAAAACACTCAGATAGATGATGGGAAAACACTCAGATAGATGAATGGATGGGAAAACACTCAGATGAATAGATAGATGGATGGATAGGAAAACACTCAGATAGATGAATAGGAAAACACTCAGATAGATAGATAGATAGATAGATTCAGATAGATAGATAGATAGATAGGAAAAATACTTCAGATAGATAGATATACATTCATGAATAGATGGAAAATACTTTCAGATAGATAGATAGATAGATAGATGAAAAATACTTCAGATAGATAGATAGATGAGATAGATAGATAGAAAATACATTCAGATAGATAGATAGATACATTCAGATAGATAGATAGATAGATAGAGAAAACACTTCAGATAGATAGATAGATAGGAAATACATTCAGATAGATAGATAGATAGGAAAACATTCAGATAGATAGATAGAGACAAATACATTCGGATAGATAGATAGAAACAAATACATTCAGATAGATAGATAGAGACAAATACATTCAGATAGATAGATAGATAGATAGATGGAGACAAATACATTCAGATAGATAGATAGATAAATACATTCAGATAGATAGATAGAGACAAATACATTCAGATAGATAGATAGATAGATAGATGAGATAGATCAGATAGATAGATAGACAAATACATTCAGATAGATAGATAGAGACAAATACATTCAGATAGATAGATAGAGACAAATACATTCAGATAGATAGATAGATAGATAGATGAGAGACAAATACATTCAGATAGATGAATAGAGACAAATACATTCAGATTCAGATAGATTCAGATAGATAGATGGAACAAATACATTCAGATAGATAGATAGATAGATAGATAGATAGATAGATAGATAGATAGAGACAAATACATTCAGATAGATAGATAGAGACAAATACATTCAGATAGATAGATAGAGACAAATACATTCAGATAGATAGATGAGAGATAGATAGATAGATGGATAAATACATTCAGATAGATAGATGAGACAAATACATTCAGATAGATAGATAGATGAAATACATTCAAATACATTCAGATAGATAGATAGAGACAAATACATTCAGATAGATAGATAGAGACAAATACATTCAGATAGATAGATAGAGACAAATACATTCAGATAGATAGATAGAGACAAATACATTCAGATAGATAGATAGAGACAAATACATTCAGATAGATAGATGAGACAAATACATTCAGATAGATAGATAGATAGATAAATATTCAGATAGATAGATAGAGACAAATACATTCAGATAGATAGATAGAGACAAATACATTCAGATAGATAGATAGAGACAAATACATTCAGATAGATAGATAGATAGATAGAAATAGATTCTCAGATAGATAGATAGATAGATAGGAAAACACTCAGATAGATAGATAGAAAAACATCAGATAGATAGATAGATGAGAGAAAAACTCATAGATCAGATAGATAGATGAATAGGGAAAACAAATACATTCACTCAGATAGATAGATAGATAGATAGAAACAAATACATTCAGATAGATGAATAGATAGATAGATGAAACAAATACATTCAGATAGATAGATAGAGACAAATACATTCAGATAGATAGATAGAGACAAATACATTCAGATAGATAGATAGATAGAGACAAATACATTCAGATAGATAGATAGAGACAAAATACATTCAGATAGATAGATAGAGACAAATACATTCAGATAGATAGATAGATAGAAATACATTCAGATAGATAGATAGATACATACATTCAGATAGATAGATAGATAGATAGATGGAAAAATACATTCAGATAGATAGATAGAGACAAATACATTCAGATAGATAGATAGAAACAAATACATTCAGATAGATAGATAGAAACAAATACATTCAGATAGATAGATAGAGACAAATACATTCAGATAGATAGATAGAGACAAATACATTCAGATAGATATGAATAGAGACAAATACATTCAGATAGATAGATGAGATAAATACATTCAGATAGATAGATAGATTCAGATAGATAGATAGAGACAAATACATTCAGATAGATAGATAGATAGATAGATAGAGACAAATACATTCAGATAGATAGATAGAGACAAATACATTCAGATAGATAGATAGAGACAAATACATTCAGATAGATAGATAGAGACAAATACATTCAGATAGATAGATAGATAGATAGATAGAGACAAATACATTCAGATAGATAGATAGAGACAAATACATTCAGATAGATAGATAGAGACAAATACATTCAGATGAATAGATAGAGACAAATACATTCAGATAGATAGATAGAGACAAATACATTCAGATAGATAGATAGAGACAAACATTCAGATAGAATAGATAGATAGATAGATAGATAGATAGAGACAAATACATTCAGATAGATGGATGAGACAAATACATTCAGATAGATAGATGAGACAAATACATTCAGATAGATAGATAGAGACAAATACATTCAGATAGATAGATAGAGACAAATACATTCAGATAGATAGATAGAGACAAATACATTCAGATAGATAGATAGAGACAAATACATTCAGATAGATAGATAGAGACAAATACATTCAGATAGATAGATAGATAGATAGATAGATAGATAGAGACAAATACATTCAGATAGATAGATAGAGACAAATACATTCAGATAGATAGATAGAGACAAATACATTCAGATAGATAGATAGAGACAAATACATTCAGATAGATAGATAGAGACAAATACATTCAGATAGATAGATAGATAGATAGATGAGACAAATACATTCAGATAGATAGATGAGAGACAAATACATTCAGATAGATAGATGGAGAGACAAATACATTCAGATAGATAGATAGAGACAAATACATTCAGATAGATGGATAGAGACAAATACATTCAGATAGATAGATAGAGACAAATACATTCAGATAGATAGATAGAGACAAATACATTCAGATAGATGAATAGAGACAAATACATTCAGATAGATAGATAGAGACAAATACATTCAGATAGATAGATAGAGACAAATACATTCAGATAGATAGAGACAAATACATTCAGATAGATAGATAGACAAATACATTCAGATAGATAGATAGAGACAAATACATTCAGATAGATAGATAGACAAATACATTCAGATAGATAGATAGAGACAAATACATTCAGATAGATAGATAGATACATTCAATAGATATCTAGATAGATAGATAGAGACAAACAAATACATTCAGATAGATAGATAGATACATAATACATTCAGATAGATAGATAGAGAGAAAAATACATTCAGATAGATAGATAGAGACAAATACATTCAGATAGATAGATAGAGACAAATACATTCAGATAGATAGATAGAAACAAATACATTCAGATAGATAGATAGATAGATAGATAGATAGATAGATAGAGACAAATACATTCAGATAGATAGATAGATAGATAGATAGATAGATAGATAGATAGATAGAGACAAATACATTCAGATAGATAGATAGATAGATAGATAGATAGATAGATAGATAGATAGAGACAAATACATTCAGATAGATAGATAGAGACAAATACATTCAGATAGATAGATAGAAACAAATACAGATTCATAGATGGAGATAGATAGATAGATGAGACAAATACATTCAGATAGATAGATGAATGAATGACAAATACATTCATAGATAGATAGATAGATAGATAGATAGATAGATAGAAACAAATACATTCAGATAGATAGATAGATAGATAGATAGAGACAAATACATTCAGATAGATAGAGTGGTAGCTAATGGTTTTCAACCCAACCAAGCAGCACTTCCAGCAATATGATGTTCGGTCATCTGTTCATGATTTGAGAAGTTTGCTTTACGCCATATATAAAATTATGCCTGGGAAACTATGGCTATGTATTTATTCCCCAAATTGTATTCTGTGAGAAAGTACTGGCGTTATCAAGAGCTATTGATCACGATTGACGTAGAAATGGCGTCTCCCCAACACTTTCTATCTTGTTCTTTCCAAATTTCGCTCAACATGTTCTTCTATTTTGTTAAGGATGTAAACATCGTCTGGCTCCTCTGTTTGTCTGTGAAGGACAACTTGAATAGGTCAATATTTGCTGACAGTTAAGTAGCTCCTCTAGGAATGCACTTTAGTTCAACTACTATCAATTGATAAAAGAGAGAATTTGCGGTCGCCAGCATGCGAAAAACGCCAAGATGCAGAATACAAATTGGAGATGCCAAAATCACACAAGCGCAAAAATGTGACGCCGATATTCACTAAAAGTTGTTTACCAACATCGAGGTAATATATTACGAAAACTTTCATTAGAAACAAAGAAAAGTGTGTTAAACAGTTATGCAATACGAATCCTTTTGTATGACAATGAATTATGGGAAATTACCTCAGACAGATATGAAGAGAACATTGAGGTCGGCAAAAAATTTGTTCTACGGTAGTATGCTGAGAATACGATGGACAAGGGGAATAATCAACAAGGAAGTCATGAGAAAAATTGGAGAAAAGGTCACTTATATTCAGAATAAAAAAGATAAGGATCCATAATCAGGAAGGAATGCTTTGAAAATGTGTTACTCTCATGACACAATGAAGGCAAAGGAGACAATCTGCGGTAACAGGCTAGCTACCTGGTGAACGTATGTGAATGACTGGCAGAACAAGGAATTGGGTGGATAAAAAGAAATACTATTAAGTATATGCAAATTTATGGAGAGATATAATGGCTCCCGTTCTGAAGGAAAAATGTACGTAGAAGAAGAAGAAGAAGAAGAAAAAAGAAGAAGAAGGAAAAGAAGAAGAACAAGAAAAAGAAAAAAGAAGAAAAAAAGAAAAAAGAAGAAGAAGAAAAAAGAAAAAAGAAGAAGAAAAAAGAAGAAGAAGAAGAAGAAGAAAGAAGAAAGAAGAAGAAAAAAGAAGAAGAAAGAAGAAGAAAGAAAGAAGAAGAAAGAAGAAGAAAGAAGAAGAAGAAGAAAGAAGAAGAAAGAAGAAGAAGAAGAAAGAAGAAGAAAGAAGAAGAAAGAAGAAAAAGAAGAAGAAGAAAGAAGAAAAGAAGAAGAAGAAGAAGAAAGAAGAAAAAAGAAGAAGAAGAAAGAAAAAAGAAGAAAAGAAAATAACAACAATAATAATAATAATAAGAAGAAGAAGAAGAAGACGAGGGAAAAGGAGGAGAAAGAAGGAGGAGGAGGGGAAAAGAAGCAGAAGAAATAGAACGGGAAAAGAAATGGACGAAGAAGAGGAAATAATAAGAAGACGAAAAAGAAGAAGAAGAAGAAAAAGAAAAAGAAGAAAAGTAAATAAGAAGAACAAGAAGAAGAAAAAGAAGAAAAATAAAAACAAAAAGAAAAGGAAATATAATAATAATACTAATAAGAAGAAGACGGGGAAGGAGGAGGGGAAAGAAGGAGGAGAAGGGGAAAAGAAGAAGAAATAGAACGGGAAAAGAAGTAGAAGAAGAAGAGGAAATAATAAGAAGACGAAGAAGAAGAAAAAGAAGAAGAAAAAGGAAA